CCAAAGAGATGGAGAAAGCTTTGAGGATAGGCAACACCAGGCAACTCTTTGGACTCATCAGGGAAACGGGTGGGAGAAGACAAATCATCAGTGAGACAATCTCGGAAAAAAATGGCACTATAATTAGCTCCCAGGATAGACGACTGGATCGTTGGAAAGAGCATTATGAGGAGCAGTTTAATTTGCCCACAGCCACGCTCAACCTTCCGAGCATCCAACACCTCCCTGAATGGGATATAGACACAGGTCCTCCGTCACTAACTGAGGTTACTAAAGCTGTCACCAATCTGAAACTAGGCAAAGCAGCGGGACCTGATGGAATGACGCCAGAGGTATTTAAGTACGGTGGAGACAGCTTACTGTCCGGATTAACTGAGGTACTAGGCAGCGTCTGGGAATCAGAAGAAGTCCCATCGGGTTGGTGTAAGTCACTGATTATCCCCATATACAAGAAGGGAGACAAGTCTTCCTGTGATAATCACAGAGGGATTAGCTTGACTAATATAGTATCTAAAGTCTTAGGCTCAATAATCATGCGTAGACTGAGTGGTGCTCGGGAAGCACAAACACGAGAGAGCCAGGCAGGCTTTAGACCAGGAAGAGGGTGTATTGATCATATCTTCACCCTCCGACAGATTCTAGAACATAGGCATTCCTACCGGCGTCCAACAGTCATTATATTTCTTGACCTAAAGGCAGCATTCGACTCTGTCGATCGGGAAGTTCTCTGGAGATGCTTGGCTGTAAAGGGAATTCCAAGAAAATATATTGCACTGATTAAGGCACTCTACTCGTACTCATACAGCCAGGTGAGGGCTTACGGCGAGCTGTCATCTGAACTGATGACGACCAGTGGTGTCCGTCAAGGATGCCCATTATCTCCTTTTCTATTCAACTTCATCATAGATGTGTTAATGGACTTAACCCTAGGTGACTTCAGCGACTCAGGGATTGACTTGCTACCGGGGAATAATCTCGTTGACTTGGAATATGCAGACGATATAGTCCTTCTAGGCGAAGACGCTGACGAAATGCAGAGTCTTCTAAACACCTTGAGCCGCAATCTACGAATGTTTGGCATGCGATTCGCTCCCGCCAAATGCAAGATGATGTTACAGGACTGGACTACATCGACGCCTAGTTTAAAAATAGGAAGTGAAGTGGTAGAGCACGTTGACCGCTTCACTTATTTGGGAAGTACCATCAGCCCCAACGGGCTGATCTCTGACGAAATCTCAGCACGAATACAAGGGGCTCGTTTCGCATTTGTTAGTTTACGCCGACTCTGGCGTAGACGAGATGTTCGACTATCGACCAAAGGGCGGGTGTACTGCTCATCAGTCCGCTCCGTCCTCCTTTATGGTTGTGAGACCTGGCCACTGAGAGTGGAAGACATGAAAAGACTAGCTGTCTTTGATCATAGGTGCCTGCGTTCTATTTCCCGTGTAAAGTGGCATAATAAGGTGAGCAACATGGAGGTTAGGCGTAGAGTTCTAGGTAAACAGGGGAAATCAATCGACGAAGTCGTGAAGCTACAAAGACTGAGATGGTTAGGACATGTGTTACGTATGCCAAGCCATCGCCTCCCTCGACGAGCAATGTTAGCGGATATAGGGTCAGGCTGGAAAAAAGCTAGCGGCGGTCAAACAAAAACTTGGCATCAGTCAATGAAATCCACAACAGTTGGTCTAAGCCACGTAGAAAGGTGTAGACTTCCAGGCTGGGGTCCTCGGGACGGTAAAAATCTATGGTTGGAAACAATTGGTGACATGGCTCAAAATCGTTCTCAGTGGCGCAGATGCATCCACTCCCTGTGACTTATGATCTTCAATGAAACTGTTTTGTATTTCTTTATTACTCCTTTGTCTCACACCTCTGCTCACTGTTTCTATTATGCTTTTCTTGTACTTTCTTCTCTTGCTTCGCGTGCTACACGGAATGTGGCGACTTGAACTTCCGCACATTTGTGCAAAGTTCTATGTCGAAAACAGACAGACAGACAGATTATGTGATTAAATTATCGACATGGCATGACATGATGTTTTGTATGGTGCTGAACTTCATCAAGCGACTATGGAGATGTTTTATACAGACTCAGATCCAGATTTGACCTGATAGCTACACCATAACTGGACACCGAGTGAAAAGTAGACATATGTGAACATCTACAAACCAACACTTAAATATCGATGAGATGCTCACTAGAGACTTGCCCTATTTAGGTAGGTAGTTACCTGGGGTTCTCCACTGGGAAGTCGTGACCAGTAGGGTGCAGCAGGTTGGGTGTGAGGACAAATACTCGCCGAAGACATTGGCTAGGGGTCGCGCTATGTCGTGAATTGGCAGAAATCGGAATTCATGCACTGGCCATTGGATTGGTTCTCAGTGGCCAAATGGTATACGAGCTCGCCAGCCTTGTACCTAGAAGGGTTAGAACCCCGATGGGCGCGTACTGCTGAAGAGTCCCAAACTAGGACGAAACAGCTGTCCAGTACTCCCAGGTTTTCTAGTGGTTCTCTAACCAATGTAAGCTCACGATGAAATCCTATATGAACATCGTTTGCAAAACTCTCACAGAAATGAAAACAAATCATACCAACGTTTTGTTGCGACCAGTTCGCCGAATGATGAAAAGTTTGAATGTTTTATTTTGGTTTCTCTGAGTTTTATACAAATATAATTTGTACAGATGTCAACTAAAAAAATATCCCTATGAATTAAAGTGCTAGAAAAGATAAAAGACGCAGTTTCACAACATACTGACAACTGAAGCAGGAAAGGCTGAAGACAAAAGAGACTTCAGAACATTATATCAGATAAGAACACCACAGATTATTACATTGGTGTCTCTCTATCCGAGACAGGATGGTCAAGGTAACCTATTTACCAAAGAGGAGAGGCAAAGGAAACAACTGTCTGATCACTCCAAAAGATTCTTGAGTCAACCTCGTCCAAAAATACTGCCAACAACACGTACAAAACTGCCAGTGGACATCAATCCTTCAACGAAAGCAGAAGTCTTGAATTTAGTCAAGCTACTGAAAGCTAACCGGGAAGGCAGCAGGACCGGACGGAATTCCTCTCATAGCAATGATAACTCATCCAAAAACTTCAGCGAATGTGCTCATACCACTATTGCAGAACATATGGAAGGAAAGGAAGGCACCTATTAACATTAGAAAGAAGACTACCTTTTTCAAACTTACCAAAAGGATGGAAATTAGGTCTCTGCAAGAAATGGAGTAGAATCACACTCGTGGAGAGAGGAAGAGAAGCACTGGGTGCAGAACCCAACGGCATAAAGCCGGATTAAGAAAATGAAGATCGTGTGTTGACCAAATTGCAGCTCTACGCATTACCATCGAACAGAACACAGAATGACAGCCAAATCACTGGCCTCAGATTCATCGACTTTAACAAAAAAAGGCTCCAACAGCATCGACTGAGAAGTAATTTGGAAACTGCTTCAACTTTTATCAACCGTATTCAACAGCTATATGATGATGCAACATGTCATGCGATTACCTAGTAAGGGAAGTCAGCGATGCCTTTAAAGTAAAGTCAAGAGTAGGACAAATCTGCTTACTATTACCGATGATACTTCTGACTATGTCACGTTGGATCATGTAGCAGGCCGAAAGGAACAAGCAGACAGGAATATGTTGAACTAATGAGAAAATTCTGGATGATGTGGGCTATGGGGATAATTTTTACCTAATGTTTTGACATACTCGAAGACTTACAAGCGAAAACCAACAAGTTGTTAGAAGTAGTAGAGAAGATAAGTGAACATATAGAAAACGGTGGTAAGGAAGACAACCAGAAAAAGGTACTAATCACCATCAAAAGGAGAAATTAAAAGGTATCCACCTTTTACATTTACCTGGAAAAGTAGCTTCGTTTCAACTCTACAGGCAGCACTGATGAAGACATCAAAGGCATTCGGAATCGGAGAAGCAAGATAAACCTCTCCATTAACCTTAAATCAGTGGAGAAATCTATGGCACACAGCTAAAAGAAACAAGAGTCTTGTCTCAAACAATAATATTAAGTCAGTTCTCGGCGTGTCGTAAAAAGCATTTCGAACAGGTTTAACGTTTATCAATAGTAGCATCTTTCGCTCAATACTGAAGATCAAATAACCGGTCATAAAGGATTAGCAGCAAAGGATTTCGGGAACAAAACAACCAAGACCTGTAGCCCAAAAGATATTTGAAAGAAAATAGAGAAACATAGGACTTACGCTAAGGAGACCACCGAGTGACATGGTTTTCTAGACCCAATTAGGAAATGACCAGTTGGGCGTTTGTCTGAGGATGACATAGAGGAGATCGTGAGAGAAGATGACAGGTGATGAACAATCGGTGAGCCAGCTCAAAAAGGACTACAGAGGACCAGATGAAATGAAGATGTGCTAAGGAAGCTATGTGCCACTCGGAATCTAAGGGAATAGCAATTCTTATAAAAGTATTCGGAACACAGAAGAAACACACGTTTGTCGAAAAGGAATTTAAAGACCTTACCATCAATCTGTATGGTTTTCGAAATTGCATACTGTCTTAAAATAAAAATAATTTTATTTAAAATTCATATTCCTTATAGAATAAACATACATGAAATGAATACCTTATGCAATATATTATGGTACATATCCTTACTAACCCTTACTCTGTTATTTTTTTCCGTCACACAAACTTTTAACATTGATCCAAACATTTACAGAAAATAACCAGAAGTTTTAAAGAATATCCCCTATATAGCACGTGATCTGGGGTTGATTCCCATCAGACGAACTCCTAAACTTCGCCTAGCCCCTAGTAAATGCAGAATACAGAGAAGATTGGGCGTGAGGCTAGCGATCCCCTCCCCTCCGTAAAAACAACACGAATGCGACTGAATCTTCAAGACTCAGGCTTGAAACCATCTTACGCGAAAGAAAGAAAAGAAAAAAACGGTGCAAGCAAAGTGAAGTAAGATCAAGGGAGAGTTGGATAACTTACGCATTTCTATGATTTGTCCCATTCGTTTCATCCATACTATTATTATTGTTACTGCTACTATTATGATTATGATTATTGTTGACATTATTAATGGTAGGAAGCATCGATTTAAAATCACAGATATTATTATTATTGCTACTATTAATACGCATCATTTGATTTCTTGTTTCATCATGCATATCATTCATATTATTATTATTTGTATTATTCCCCTGAATAAATTGATGACTGTTCATTGCTGATGTTGTTTGAGTTGAAAATATATTTGCCGGTAAATTTAAATTTCTTGTTGTTGTTGTTGTTGATGATGATGATGGTGGCCATTCATATCGACCATCATGCGTAGCAGAAATAGGTAGAAATGGAACTGTATTACCACGAGTTGACTGGAAACAACTTGGCACATTAGTAGTAATTGGTAGTGAGGCTTGAGGACCTTTAGGAACACAAGTTAAAGGAAAGGCAATGAATTATCTTCAAATTATGCTACACAAAAATAAAGCAACTGATTTTTAAAATAATTGTCTAGCAGGTGCTACTGACAAGATTTTTATAGACGAGAATATTGTATATGATGCCTAGAAATGTGTCTGTAACTCTTCATCAAGAGTGGGAAGTGTGTAACAAAGTAAATATTTCAGCTTCATCTACAATACCAGCGAGTCACCGTCTGGATACAGCTTCGTGGTACGGGACTGCTGCATTGGTTGTTTTCTATCTATCGGGTTGTCGAATACCATCACGAATCGTTCTACCAATAACCTTCAGACCTCCTTCCTAGCTACACGTTCCATGCTATCGTCAGCCACCTTCCTCCGAACACTCAGTAGTGTCCTCGGCGCAACAATTTTCACTATCAGATCCTGTACGCCTACCGACTAAGAGACAGTTTCGAGGTCCTACAAGAAGCCCCATATATCTCCCTCTTCGAATTCTGAAAGTCATGGGAGCTATTCAAACTCACGATTGATATCCTGTAGGACTGTAGTGGGCATTTCGATTGGACACTGGTAACTACTGTGATGTATCTGGTCCTTTCTTTGGTGCAGACTGAATTCTATCAGTTGGGTTTGCAGTGTGGCCACCATTCTAGGTAGCTCTCCATCACGGTGCACAACTATCTGATATCATCAAATCAATGTGCACCGTGATAGTGAGCTACCTAGAGTGGTGGCCATATTACAAACCTGCACCAAAGAAAGGTCTAGACACGTCGCACTAGTTACTAGTGTCCGATCAAAATATACGCAAACTTTACTAGAAAGATTTAGCCTAAAGAACAACCTTTTGCAATAATTGAAGCCTTGTGTTTTTCACACAGCCTCTACTCTTCTCCGCGTCACCCTAGGACAACCTAGCCGCGTGATTTCGTTCGACGGTCTTCTCAGCGTACGTCCAATCCAGCCTCCATTCTCTCCTACATATTTGTTGAGCGAAAATTTTCTGGTTATTTTCTTCAAATCCCCATTCTTATTTTTGCTTTCATAGAAAAAAGACACATCGGCTGACTGTCTGGCTTCCCGAAGGCTTTCATCAGCCCGCATCATTTCGCCCCTCCGAAAAATAAGTTTTTTTCTCCTATTTTTAGTATTTTCTTGTGCACTGAAGTTTCTGCAGCAGTTTTATTGATTTTCCAGGGTAGAGGTGCTAACCTCATGCACATACCTTCCTCTTTACCTGTGCTCAGGATCGGCTAGAGCTAGTAAACTAGGCGAGGTTCATATTCCATACTTTCTACATATTGTTACATAAAGACCTTTCATTTCTCTTCATCTCCGGTCAATCCATCGCTTGGCTATTCAAAATCTTTCACCGAAGACACCACACACACACACACAACATTGTTTCTTATTCCTTTGTTTGCCAGGTGGTGTTTTTTTTACCAGACTGTGTTGCTAGCATCACTGACGCCTCTAACCTCCCCCTATTTACCGGTGTCGCCACCGGCTAATCAAGGTTTTGAAGTGCAGTCAGTCGTAAAATCGAAACTCGAGTAACGTGTATGGTTGGTGGAACATTCTACCACTGAACTGCTGAAGCATACACAGTATACTACTTGTAAATTCTTATCAGTAGTACACATAACATCATTATTATATGGAAGGAAAGGTTTATTATTATTATTATTATTCTGCATCAATGCATTAATAAAGAGGTAGGTTATAAATATCACAGGTAATAATGATAGATTAATATGCCTAATTCACCTACATATACCTCTGAATAACCATCACTGTATACCAGCGTCTAACTAACTAACTAACTAGTCTTTCTTCATCTGTGTATGCCTATTTTTCTTGTTTTTCTAACTGTAAAAGAAACCGATTATTATCATTATTGATGATGATGGTTATAAGGATAATAATGGAAATGATTATGGCAGTAGTAAGTAATACTACTCAGTAATGATATTGATGGTGGTAAGGATTACTAAACAACACAAGCAAACGATGTATCAATAAAGTAAAAAAAGAAAAAGATGAAGTGGGTGAGGTTAGGTGGAGAAGGATCTACCGATCTGCCGAGAATGAGAGTAAAAGCGAAAGGTAAATGAAGTGGGTGGGAAAGAGACAGGATTAGACGAAAACAAACAACAGTCCAGTGGTCTGGGAAAAAAACACACATCAGATTCCTAAATTATAAATATATATATATATATATACTTAATACACAAAAGAATTAATCATACTAATGAAATCAATTATAGTAGTTAATAATTTATTTATCAAGGCCACCAAGTATAAATATTATAAAGGTTAATTATTAATAGATAATATAAATCATGTAGACTGATTAATAGGCGGCTATTACCTTCCGGTGTGCTGTTTGTGATTGGACGAAGTAGTAGTAGTAGTAGTAATGATAAAAAATAATAATAATAGTAATATGTAGCAATAGGACTTCATGTGTAATATTACCTACCATATCTAGTTAACACTGACTAGAAAATATGAACAAGCAACAAGAAACTTGGGGAGTTCAGTGGACCAGCCAAGAACCCATCACCTAGAGGGAGGAGATGCACTTGATGTACTCTGAGAAGACCGCTAAATGACATTATGCGCCTGACATAATCCACCTTTGGAATCAAAATGGGCATACAACGAGTTAGGCATGGGTCCAAAGCTGATATGGGAGAGGTCGTGTAGGGTGAAACTGGAAGCTTATGGCCAGTCACAGAGTAAGGTGGAAAAGACGGAAGATAACAAAATGAAATGGTGGTGATGTACTGCTGAAGCTCAATCTTTCACTAAGAAGCCAAAAGAAATATAATTATAATAATAATATTAATAATAAAAACAAGGTAGCTCCGTGGATGATCATTGCACAGGAGGATTAGGTAGCATAGGCAGCTGTCCAGTGCTTCATGGTTTTCAGGGGTTCCTACCATTAATGTTAATCTTTGATGGAGAACAAGTATTTCATGGAAAACAAGGCACTTAAAGAGTTAATGACAAATATTCAATTAGCAGCGTGGAAATGAGTTCCCCTCAATTTTTATTTAGATTTCAACAAAAAATAATGTAACAGTGAAACATAAATTTTCGCTGATTAGATCTATTTACTGTGCTATTATCAACTACTAACTGCTCAAACTATAATACCTCCTACTAATACTTTTGTTTGATCAAAGTGTTAGATTCCCTTCCATTCTCAAATGAGATTCCTGTGAACTGTTTCAATTCCATGTTTCTCGTGACATAGACAGCATTAGAGTAGGAACTAATTAAAGTGCTAAGTGTTTCCCATTACGCTTTTCTTCTGATCTCTCTCTCTCTCTCTCTTGATCGTTCAACATCTTGTATCACTCAGTCTCCAGTTTTTCAGTTTTTAAATAGTGTATTTCGCCTATTCTTCTTTATTGCTCCCATTTAATCTTTTCTCACAGACCTAAAAATACTTTGTTGCATGGTGAAGAACATTAACACCCGTCTGTAAGGTGAGTAGTATATCTATAAGCCTACCAGGCTAATGCTGTTTTTGACAGAAATCTGAATTCATGCAAAAAAATTGATAAATCAATGTGCACCGTGATGGTGAGCTATCTAGAATGGTGACCTCATTGGAAACCTCACTGATAGAATTCAATCTGCACCAAAGAAAAGACTAGACACATCACACTAGTTACCAGTGTCCAATAGAAATGCCCATTACAGTGCTACAGGAGGTCAATCATGAGCTCGAATAGTTCAGTGGTATTGTCTCTGACTCCAGCACTGGGTGACGCGGGTTCGAATTCCAGAAGGGACATGAGTTGGAGATACGCCTTGCTGACTGGTGAGTGCCAACTAGCACGAAACCTAGGTCAAGCAAGGCTTCCTGTGGCCGACTGCCTCCAATCATTTGAAGGTTATCTTGTAGGACTGTCAGTACTCTGTTTATTCACAAGCATCCTCTTGCATCTACGCCAGTGGGAATACAAACAATTATGAAAATGGCTTTATGCTGGCACGATTAATCACAACAACAACAACAACAAAAATCGACCATACACTATTTGGCAGGGACTTTTTATGTAGTAAAAGAAGTTCTAAGCATGAAACTTCTAACTTATTACTACAAAACAGCAGCTAAAAGGCTATTTTTTTATTCTTTCTGCCATTAGCATAGGGTTGTTACTGTTCCGCTTAATTCATAATTTATTTTCACATTTAAATACACTGTTGCCATTATTATTATTATTACTGTAAATGTCAGAAAACCGTCTGTAATTATTTCCTTCCTTACAAACGTAATGTGAAGAGAAAACTAGATGTGATATTTGTACTGCGTACATTATCAAAAGTGTTGTTTGAAATAAAGCCGTTAGTATTACCTTCTGGTCTGATGGTATTAACTTTCACTTCTATCACATCTGTTTACTGAAGCTGTTTGATTAGAAGTAGAGTAATCAGACAATTAGAGATAAAAAAACTTCAAAACAACTTCCCCTATATTATCAGAATAACAGTATCACAAATATCGTGATTGGTAGAAGTTAGAATTCATGGGTTGGCTAGCCATTGGATAGGGTTCCAGTGGCCCAATGGTCTACGAGCTCGCCAGCCTTGTGACCAGAAGGTCCTGGGTTCGAACTCTGGTGAAGAGTGCACACTACTGAAGAGTCCCAAAGTAGACTGATGAAACAGCTGTCAAGTACTCTCTGTAGGTTTTCTAGTGGTTCTCTAAGTGATGTCAGCTCATGATGAAGTCTCCCATCTAATATTTAAAGTGGTCAATCAAAGGAAATGGAGATGGACTTGACATGCTTTGCTCAGATAGTTGAGTGATATCACGCACTATGCTAGCTAGCTCTTAGGTGGAACGCGAATGGGAAATCATAAGTTGAGCATGGGTCTGAGGGTAACATGAGAGAGATTGTGTGAGGGGTAGATAAAAGTTGTATGGGCGATTAAGGACCCGGCTGGAAAGGACTGTATAAGACAGAATGAAATGGAGACCTGCTGCTGAAGCCCGCTGTTCCACTGGTAACCCAGTGGGAATAATAATTAGATGGCTAACAGTGGAACTCATGACATTCCGCCATTTTTTCTAACTCATTATTAAAATTACCGACTAAAGGAGACATTTTGATTAGATAAAGAATTATTGAGAAAAAAAGAGTACTTTTCTAATTTTTTTTGTTACGTTAATGCAAAGATGTTAGGGTTAACACTTATTGCGTAACCAAACTTTTCCTTTGGTTCCGAGTATTAGTAGCGTCACTGTTGCCTTTAAGGGATGCGATTGCTGGGTTTATGCTCAATCTTCCTTGTTATCCTATGCTTAATACAGGCTGGATGAGGAGGTTAAGGAGTGAGTGGAGTGGGAATCGAACCTGGACCCCATGTACATGGCTACCGAGTATTCTACCGATGAAGCACCAACGCCACATACTGTTTGTATCAATTTGTACTATGCTATGCTATGCTATGGTCGTTCAAAGATATCACCTGACTTCAGTAACACTAAACGTCACTACTACATATTCGAGCAGATGGTCTACTGTGAACATGTAAACTGTTCACTCGCGATTATTGTAATATGACAATTAGAAGTAGAACAATCCTTGGTTCACTTACTTTCATGCTTTAGACTTCTATTCTTCTCCTCCTCTTTCTCTTCAATGTCAACAATATCTGCATCCCCGTCATCGATTAAATTTTCATCAAGGTCATCATCAATGCAATTTTGCCTAGATGACTGATCTTTCATAATATTATCACCACCATCATCATCATCGTTCTCAGTAACTTTGTGAGTATAATCAGTCTTGTGAATAACATCGGAAGCAGTAGTATTTATGGTATTGGCAGATGGTATATGAAACAATTGATTTTGTTGATTGTCTTGATGATGACTTGTCAATGATGACGACTTAATGTCCAGATCACACATTGAAGAATCACTGCCAGTCATTGATTTAACCAAAATTGGCGAATAACAGAATATCCATGAATTGTATGCATCAAGTTTCAAAGATTATTCGAGGCAATTAGCGTCACACAAAGACAACGACGGTCACCTTCGTTCATGCATTAACACGCTCTGATTGATCATTACAAATAAGTTCATGGAAATTAGTAGTACATACTGCAAAAGGTTGAAGAACCTGTCACAAATAAAGGCGAAAAAGGGGGGAGAATGAATCAGACTAATCATTATTTTCATTTTGTGTATAATTTCAAGCATACAGTATTTAGTACTGATTCATAGAGCTAGAATTCGTGTAAGGCGAACGAACAGTTATCATACTTCAGAAACTAATCAGTGCTGCTTGCAAAAAACTCAATTTTTAGCACAAAAAATTTTTTTATGTATCCCAGTGTACTTATGACAGTGATCAGCGAATGTCCGCTTCACATGAACTAAATGGCGCCTTAAAATTCAACTCTCCCGTTATTACTGATGGTAAATTTACTCAAATTCCTGTAACTGCTGAGTTCAGTCTGTCTGTGTAAATCACCTGAGGAAATAGTCAATACGAAATTGTTCTGCATAAGACAACTTGGATGACTAGGAAACATTCCCTTTTTAAAATGCAACCAAAAACAGCGTACGGAAATCCCCGATATTACTTAAATGTTTAATCAGTAATCTACCACCCTACCACCTTGAAGAATAAAGTAAACACGCCGGGGAAGCACCATAAATGAGGCTTAAATTGTTGGCGTCTATCTTATCTTTTACTTACATAAATAAACAACTTCATTTTGAAGAATATGTTCGTGAAGACATCAGCAGGTAGGTGTGTGTGTATGTTTACATTCGCAAGAAAGAGCGCATAATGTGAAGTATGCGACACAGTCTGATATCCGGACAACAGTCAACACAATATTACCTACAAAAGCTTTTCACTCTTACAACTCTTTCTTATGCCGAGAATAATAATTCTCTCCTGATGAGGATATCAAAGGATTTTAGCGGAAAGTGACAGTTGTTGAAAGATAAAAAAACATGGGGAAAATACAAGATGGAGGGATGGTGGTAAACAAAAGTGGAAATATATTTAAATGACAAAAAAAAGACTAAAAACATTTTGACCTTGCTACATTGAATGAAAATTGCTGTTAATCAGAAGTACTACTTGTAAGTAAGTATTCTAAACAAAACATATGACGTGCGCTTAAATTTTTATAAATTCAAACGCACGCAAAAGGTAATTAACAGCACACCTATGCATCCATTACTCTTAAGTCTGTAAACACTAGTAAACTCGAAAATTGCTAGAAAAACCAAAAAGTTCTAATATAAAATAATTTAAAAACTTAAGGAAGTACAACAGGTTAATTGGAATCTTCCTACTATCTCAATAATCACCCGTATTACACATGTATGCATGAATGTATCATCACAGAGCACACATGAAGACAGGCATACACACTCACAGTTCATTTTCTAAATGTCTGTTTCAAGCCAACCTCATATACTATATCGTGAATCTTTCTCCTTTACCGTAGGATACAGAGCAGAACAGTCAGGGACTGAGAGAGGTTAGTACAGATGCCCAAAATCTAAGATGAGACAATAAAACAATATTTGAACAATATGTTTATCTTGTAATACCATTATTTAGTGTTATGACTGGTCCTTTCATCAGCTAATCAAGATAAATTTGCATGCTGATATAAACCTGTGAATTCTGTGAGTATTTGAAGCAGTGTTTGCTAGTTAGATCGTAGTGATATAAACACCAGATAGGCATTTTTTGCATTTGGGGTTGATCCCATCAGTGTGGTATCCGTTTTAATTCAGCTGAGAAGACTGAATCAATTTAGACCACTTGAATTTAGGCAGGCTACTTAGGCGAACTGGTAACAAGTGAAAACAAACCTGCAATCTAAAAACCACTGATAAGTTCCACCGCAAACATACGAAATGCTCACTCAGTGCTTAGATCACTCCCATCTAACTGCCACTTCTTACTGTTTGATGCCAATGAATTCAAGCTACTGATATCAGTCAGTAGGATGTGTCATTGCGCAGTTACACTTGCTTGCTGCCTTTATTATTATTCACCATATCAAGCAGATCACATATAATGATCTGTAAATTTTACTTTTTTCATAAGAAACTGTAGTGAAATTTCACCTTTAAATGAGCAATTTAGTAATCGCGATCTTGAATCAAGATCCAATAAATGAAGTAGAAAAAAAAACTAAGAAAAAACACGTTCTTCCCATACTCACATTACTATCAACATTAGTGTCATTTATTTTGAATTTGATACTACATAAGTGTTGATCATCATTGAAAGAAGAGTGTTGTGGTGAGTTGTCATCAAGTAAGCTCTATACACTGAGTCTTTGTAGATCAGTAAATGTATTTTATGATCTTCGTAAAGTACATGTGCAACAGAAGACTTTTCAAGTTGTCTGAGGGAAACAGTGCGATGGTGACTCAATAGCAGAATGGTCAGTGACGACTGTACCACTCACACTATTACTCTCCCATTCACAAAAAGTTTGATTCCCATCAGACGCACTCCTAAGCCTCACTCCACCACAATATTGTTTTAAGTCTTCATGAAGGTGCAAAGTTTAATCGAACTTCTATTTTAGACTAAGCAAGCTGATTTCAGTAAACACTGGGTCCTGAGTTACAAGGTGGATGTCTTCTTATTTTCCGGACAGAAAACAATATACTATTTTCAATGGAAAGCGTCCTACTTCTTTGTCAACGGAAATTGGTGTGCTTCAAAGCCCTGGCTGTACCCTGTCCATTCCGTTTTTCTTTCTTTTCGCATGACCTTACATATTCTTCCAAAGCTAACTTCATTAAATATGCCGATGGTTTAACCCTTTATGTCCCAGTAGTTTCTGCTTTGGAATGTTCTTATTTATATGAATAAATTCTTATCTCAGGCCAACTAATGGTCTCACATAAATGGTTTTCAACTGAATCCATCTAAATATCAAATTGTTGATTTTGGTTACAGATGTAAGCAATACCTTGCATGGACTGATTCAGTTGCATGATTCCTGTAATATTGATGACACTGCGGTAGGGAATAAATCGAATATCTCTCATCTCGGTATCAGTTTCTCTTCAAATCTCTGTCGGTTGTCTCACATTCTGTTGATTTCTGAGAGACCTTTTCGTCTGACTTATCACATAAACAAGTTGAGACTTTCTGGCATAACTCAACCTCTTCTCTTTCCTTATTCCTTTACGTTCCCAGTGGAACATCAGCAGCTTCAAGCTAGAAGTTTAAAGTTTCTGTAGCAGTGGTGATTATTTTTACAGGATGGGGTTACTAGCCTCATGCCCAAGCTTTTCCTCTTTACCAGTCTAACCACTGACTTAGCGAGGGAAAGGGTTGCGTCGGCCGGGGATCGAACCCCGGACCATCAGCGTTGTCGGCGAGCACTGTGCCGTATGCCACCGATGCACTTATATTAATTCTTCTTTATTGTTCACCCTTATTCTTCCCAAGACTTCTCAAAAAAGACTATTCAATATTAAATACAACACTTAAGACTATAAGTAAGGTTAGTGGTATGCCTTTGAATCAGTCAGCAGACACTGTTGTCAACAGGCACTTCGGTTCTTGCAAACAGTTAGCTAGAGTTATCTTGTCTGAAACCACTGAAGATCCTCTTTATTAGCAATATTTCCCCTGTATGTCTATGGGTAAAACCAGAAGAAACTTCGTACGAATTTACACTCGTACCTATACACATTAAAATTCTACCATAACATATTCAAGTATGGCTTTTGTATGAAGATCAGAAAAGAACTTATAAACTTCTTAGATCAGTAAGTGAACTGCAAAGTATAAGCAAAGATTATTACTACTATTACACGTATTATCGATGATATTGTCTATTTATAATTCATTATGCTTCCACCAAAATTTTGTGTTTAATAGTTTCCTAACTATTATTATTATTATTATTATTATCTTAAACCTCATTTATGTACATACTTATAAAACGAGCTAAATCGCTGTAGTATGTATAAAAATACTGGAAATACCATTCAGTATAATTATTATTTTGTTGGAATAAAGCGATTACTATTATTATTATTATTAGCCAACAGTAAGCCCGGTAAAAAAGGGAAGCTAGAACACCGCAAGCTCTGCTGAAACTCCAGAGCTCAAGCTTCAAACCCTATGTTCTGCTTGGGACGCAAAGGAATGAAAAGAAATCTATTGAAAATATCCGTATTGTTATATGCAGGATTGAGTTATTTTTTTCTCTATGTGAATCAGTACATAAAGCTGTCTAACAATAATAAGTTTTTCAAGTTTTAGTTCGCAAGGATTTTAAAGTTGATCGTGACACGTCAAGTTCCTTCTTCTTCTACACGGGTCCGAAACATGCAGTGTGTGTCACGAAAAGGACTTCCAACAAGTTAAGGACTTTTATCAACTGCTACCCACTTCTCTGACTCCATACTGACGACCAAACGGTGAGTCAGAAAGAATTAGTAACAAGAAAATCTGTAGTGGAACAAATCAGCCAGGAGCCAGTTGCTCAACGAATATGTAGCAGAAAATGGAGATGGATCAGGCACACGTTGAGGAGACTGTGGAATAACATCGCGGGCAGTGTGGACCATCGCTTAAGCGGAATCCTAACGGAGAGCAGTAAATGTGTTGTTTGAGGGTCACATGATGAAGTAGTCTAAACTGAAATTAATTAAAATTCCTACAAACCGATAAACGCCGAATATCAATCTTCTGCTTATTAGCGTTTAATGTATAGATGGCTAGAAGTTTGAATCAGCCAGTCGTGATGTCGGTGATGGCTATAATGTTGTCTGTGTGTATGTGAGGCAGACGATGTTGCTATGCCGTAAGTCAACACGAGTTAGAATTTACAGATTACTGAATGTTCAAGTACTGGTTTGTAGGGATTTGGTTGATTGGCTACAGGATTTCATCATGAGCTGACATTGGTTAGAGAACCATTGGAAACCTGCGGAGAGTACTGGACAGCTGTTTCATCAGCCTAGTTTCGGACTCTTCATCAGTGCGCACCCACCGCCAGGGTTTGAACCCAGGACCTCCTGGTTGCAAGGTGAGCTCATAGACCATTAAGTCACTGAGATGCGATCCAGTGCCCAGCCCATGAATTCTAACTTCTGCCAATTCACGATGTAGCA